TATGTTTTTCCCTCTTGTACTTGCATTCTAACAAGAAGTCATGGTTCTCCTCACAGGAACAACTGCAAGCACAGGCGAAACTCTAAAAGAGTTTTAACTTGTAACAGAAGATAAAGCATCCCAGCTGCCTCTGTACACTGTTTACACATCCTTCTCATTCACAAGAGTTTGTTATATATATATATATATATATAAAAGGACACAGCTCATACAGGGTAGACTCTTATGATTACTCCCTCCTTCAAAAATATAAAGCAATTTTAATGTTTTAAGTTTTAATTAATGTGTTTTTTTTTAAAAGTGCTCTTAATACATAAGTCACTTTATATTTATTTTAAAGTAAAACACTGTAACTTTTAGTTAACAATATCTTATATTTTCAAATAAGAGAGTACAAAACGTGTATTTTTAAAGGAAAATTGCATTTATGAACGCCAACTTGATAAAAATGAGATTAAAAGTATTAAAAAAATCATAATTACCCTCAAACATAAAAATTAATGTTAAACATATGCTATAGAAATAATGAAATTTTTAGCCCCTTATATTTATTTCAGTGATCAATTTGATTTATAATTTAGAGAAGAGGCAACTATGTTAAAATTTGTTGATATGGATAATGAAAAATTGGTGGCAATTATGTAGATTAATGAAAAGAAATATAATTATTTATATAAAAAAACAAATTTAGAAACTTTTAAAAATAAAAACAAAACAAAACACATCACAATTAAAAAACTTATTTGAGGATAAGAGTTAATTTGCATTTTTAAAGCTTGAATGATGACTAAATTAATAAAAATTAAATTTGAGAAATCAAATCAGTAATCAAAATAAACTTAGGGGATGAAAAATTTTATTTTCTCGTTATAATATCTTGAGGAAATTATTTATGAAGTTAGTTAAATTTTAAAAAAAATTGCAATAAAGATCCCTTGACCATAGCTAATAAAAAAGAGAACTCTAAAAACTCCAAAAATTCAATGTAGGCTAAGAGTACTGCAATGAAATTAAATTGTGAAGGAAAATTATATAATTATTCCTATTGAAAGATGGTTTTTTGTTCATTAATTTAAGTTATTTATTTCTCTACATGTTATTCACTACCCTATATTAAGTTATTTATTGCCCTATTATTTATTATTTGTCAATTACCTTCAGTTAACAGTCAACTTTTTTCCTTACTTTTGGACATTTGTAATAGATAAACAACAGGCGGTAGGTTAATGGACAATATAATGTAAAGTAATAAATAACAATATGTAGAGAAACAAACAACTAATGTTAGCATGATAACAATATTTGAAATAAAATTAACTAGAAGTAATGAATAAACAACAGACAATAAAACAATGAACAACTTAATATAAAGTAATGAACAATAATATGTAGGGAAGCGAACAATTCATGTTAGCATAATGACAACACTTGGAATAAAATTAACTAAAAGTAATGGACATACAACAGACAGTAGAACAATGAATAACAATATGTAGAAAAACGAGCAACTAATGTTAACATGATGAAAACATTTGGAATGAAATTAACTGAAAGTAAAGATAAATAACAGACAGTAACATAATGAACATTTAATGTAGGGTAATGAACAATAATATGTAGAGAAACAAATAACTCATGTTAACATGATGACAACATTTAGAATGAAATCAATTGAAAGTAATGGACAAACAATATATAGTAGGTCAATGAATAACTTAATGTAGGGTAATAAATAACAAACAATAGAAAAACGAACAATTCATGATTGCGTTGGCTATGTTTTATGGAGAAGATTAATATTGTCATTTCTCTCAGTATTTTAATTTTACTTCAATGCTCTTAAATTATAGTAAAATTTTGAAGTATTTAAGATTTTCCTTTTTTATAAACTATGGTGAAAGGTTTTTATCAAAATCTTCCCTAAATTTTAATTTTTAAAAACAGCAATAAATTTTTACAACTTGATTGCGGCTTTCATTTTATGAACTGGAAATCTTAAATCTTCTAATATATTTTTTGTCAAGTAGGATTCTTGGATATCATTTCTCTCGCTTTTAAAATTGGCTTTTTTGGGCAATTAAATTGGTGTACAGACGACGTCTTATAACCTCTGCAGTCTCACACTATCACACGAGAAAACGCAAGGTCCAAATTTTGAATATCCATTATACACTGAAAATTAAATAGTCCATCATCACCTACAACGTTACCCCGACTGCTTTAAACTAGTGATGACGTGATAAATAATGCCCATACAGCTGCTGCAAAAACGATTTTTGGAAAAATTACTATCAATTGAGCTTAATAATACTTGAATCTAACACGATTAGCTAACTATGTTAAAAAAAAAAAAAAAATCCTACATGAAAGGTAAACTGAACATTCTTTAAGCAATTTTTAGAAAGAAAGAAAGAAAGAACACACGCACAGTAATGATAAAGCATGTGGAGTGAAAAAAGAAGAAATTATAATGCATGGAAGTATAAAAAAGAGCTTTAAAATCATCAAGTCAGTAACCATTAAATCCAGATTGATGTACTCAGATTGAAAAGTGCATCCCAGTGAACAAGTTCAGAAACCATAAAAACTATTATTTCACTTCGTCTTTCATGTATTTAACAAATAAAGCAAACCAAGGAGAGACCAATCACAGAAAGATCTCAACCACTTTAACCAAAGTAACCGAGCCAAGAATGAGTTGCCTTGAGGGTGGTTTCCTCCTATTGAGAAAGAAGAGACAAAGCCTTCAGCCTCTTCACCTGCAAAATTTGATCTTTCTATTAGACTAATGAAACATGCAAGTAAAACACTACAGCATATCCTGGTTTGCTTAATCGTTGAGGATAGAAAACAAATTTTTTATAGAAAATATGGAGAATAAGAATTAGGTAATAATGGTCGTAGAAAATAGGAGCGTTCATAGGTCCCATTGATTATGGACCTGGTTCGACTTAGCCATGAGTTGAAATTTTCAACCCATGGAGGTTGTGGGCTAGGCACATGGCTTAGGTAATGCCCAATCTGACTCATGAACACTCTTGAAAATTATAATAGACTTAGCAGGGATAAAAGTAGAAAGCGAGGAAATCCGTCTCTGCCTAAGATACCAATCAAGGATTTCTGGTACTTAACCCATCCAATACCTGAGAAAATCCACCAACTCAGAAGAGTTTCATTTGATAGCCATATTTGGGGTTCCATGAATCTGCATGCTTCCCCTCTGTCGACCAAACAAGTCTCCATTGAGCATGTTCCCAGCCATGGACACTGACATGTCATGATTCTTTGATGAGCTGAAAATCTCGTTGTTGATAAGAGAATGATCAGAGGAGGGTGTATTGGCAGATATTGCTGACAGGTTTGCACCACTGTTCTTGTCCTTTTTTGGAGCAACGTTGGAATTGTTATTTTCAACCTTCTTTGTATTCAAAAAGCGAACCCCACATCCTCTTGCCCTTCTCATAGCATGTAGGTGACGAGATTCGTGAAGATATGGCTGGTAAAAAAATTTAAGCATTGTCATAATATGATCTCTTACATGGGGAGACAAATAGAGGGTAAATGTCGTTTGAATCCTCTGCAATTGCGTAGTAATATCATATGAAAGATAATGATACAAAGAAGTGAGTGTGTGACTCCCATTTCATTTATTTGCACGTATACCAACACAATGAGTTGTGAATGTAGAAACTGAAATACTACACTCAGAACCACTGTGCTCATTTAGCCAAGGTCACATTAATTGCTTAGACATGGACTATTTGCAGTATTTCAATCACTAAATAGTAAGAACAGAAATAAACAATCCAAGGGATTTTTTTCCTTGCAGAATTTAAAGAGATTTTATATTGTTCTCACATTAGTTGTTCGTCTTTTAAAACCTGTATACTCTTGGCTTCTTAGTAGTTAGCAAGTTAACATGAAATGCTATAATTGAGTGAGATGGCTATATCAACATGTCAACCATACCTTTCTAGCTTTAACAACTTTTCTTGCAAGCTCAGCCTTAGCACGTGATTGCCTTCGCCTTAAAATACCATGATATTGCTTTGCATTGACATAGACAGGCTCCTCTTCCATTTCAAGTGGCAAAGGCATTCTAGCATGATGCATTCCATACAACTGAGGATTTATCTAGCATCATAACAATGGAAATTAGGAAAAAAATCAACAAGAAGTTAATACATGCATTTCGTTCATCTATAATCTTGAGAAATGTAACAAACATCACATGCGGGCAAAACGTAGGGAAGCGAGAAGAATTGAAGTTGAGGGAAAGACAAATTGAGAAACAAATCCATCCTGAAAGGAACCGCATGACACTGGGTAATTATATGTCATTCATAGCATACATAGATAGGCTGGCCAGATTTAGATTCTTCGAAGTAACATGCTTGTGAAATCATTCTAAATTAAGAGACACAGATAGATACAAAGGACTGGAAAGAAAAGGAATGGGTTCCATACAAACTGTCATTCCTTGTTTCGCTCTTTCTTTTACTTCAAAGATGCTTTAACTTCAGATTATCCAAATTCGAAGTCAAAGACAATGCCAATGCAGTTGTTACTGTGACAAGGACATGACTATTCCATCTACAAGGGAAAATAATATATAAAGGACTAAGTGCGTTGGTAGGACCACATATAGTTTGAGTTGTCAAGAATATATTATTCTTTTCAGCAAGAGAAAGTCTGGGTAAGTTGAATTTCCAGAGTTCACCAAACTAGGACAAGCCTCACAATATGAAGAGTGCTTATAGAGATAAATAATATATTATAGAATAAGTAATCACAGACGTAGAGCAGCATTTTGTTGAGATAAAAAATATACTTTTTATTTATGGAGAAACAAACATTAAGTACAAAAATACATGCAAAGAAAATTACTCTCTTCTGATGCCAAACAAAAGAAAACATTAGTTCTTTTCCAGGGGAGAAAGGAGGACAAGTTATAAAGATGTCAAACAAATATGTTCAAGTGAGACCTACTGAAACTGCATTTAGCAAACAGACCATATTTTGATGCCCATGGGATGTCAAGATTCCAGCATATTGTGCATCTGAGTAAGGGTAAGAGGTAAAAACCTGCATGTATTAAAAAGAAAAAAAAACTATATAATCTTTTTATTTCCCATACCCAAAATCAAATGCTGCACAATATCGAAGATTCAGCAAATTGCCAAAATAAATTTCTGAAAGAAAAGAATGGTATTGAGCCAAAATAATATGGGAGACATTGACTAGCTATGAACTCACAATTACAAGTTCCTCAATCCTCTATTTGTGTGAAGGGATTTAGATATGGCTTACAATTGAATGACCAACAAGTTCGGCTTGGGAATTTGAACTGTGTTTACCCATCGTATGTGCTGGAGAGGACAGAACATATTTGTTATTTTGGTGCCCTTTGTTGTCATTTCCACCTGAAACCAATAAGAATTTGTTTAGACATCATATGATGCTTGTGTTCATCCAGAATTCATGGTAAGACTAAGTTAAAACCAAAGATTCTAGTTAATTCCCACTTATGTTCTTTAACCCAACAGAAGAAAAGGTAATTCTGAGAAAAGGGATGAAGAAGAAAAATGTGGACCTATATTATCAATTCTTGGTTTTCCTTGTCCTCAATCAAGGGACTACTGATCCTTTTCACCGTTAAAGAAGTTGAATGGCATGCTATATCTTCAGGCATCTTGAATGTATGGATACAATACAACATATGAAAGTCTCCCTTGTTCGGCATAAAAACTGCCAGGTTATTACCAATGGCGGTTGAATTAAGTAGAAGATATACGATGTCTCTTAAGCAAGGTCTGTTTTAAATGTTGTGGATAGAAAAAATCACACTGAGAGTACTACCTCCTATTTGGAGCTTGGCACTGATCAAATATGAATTAATCAATAGTAACGAGTACCAGATAGTTGTAAAAAAATTATGAAATCACAGAAATTGTACTGTATAAAAGGATATATGTAAAGATTATGATGTACCACACAGCTGCCACTAAGATGTCAAAATACAGACACCAAAACGTACCAACAGCAGAAAGTGAAGGTGAAACCATAGGCTGTGTCTGCTTTGGAAAATCAACTTTATCTGCTCCGTCCTTAGCCGGTGAATTCATGACTGAACCACTTATCTGATATACTGCAGATGATTTAGAGGCATTTTCCTCCACACCACGCCACCATGGCTGAGAGTAAATGCCTGATTGGAATTGAATCTGCCCTCCACCTCCTTCAAACCTCTTATCTTCCACATCAGGTTTTCCTGGCATCCTTCGCAAGTTTTCCCTGAAACCAAACAGGAATGAGAAAAACAGAAATCAAATTACAGGTACACAAGCACGTGATCAAACAGAACCTAATTTGTAACTCCATTGTAGAATTCGCAAAACACAATGAAGTTAAGACTAATTTGAAGCCTTGCAAGATGTTAGGTATCTGATAAAAGGACATAATTAAGTTCTAAATAGACTTGACTTGATCAAGCAGGGTTCTTCAGCTGGGTGTTTATCGCAGTGAAAGACTATCTCACTATCCTTCCCTTTACTAAAATGCAAACTCAAATCTCAAGTATTTTCCCATCTTTTCTTGCCAATCAAACAGACACCCAGAAGGAAATTTCTACTTCAAGTTCCCAAATCAGGGAAAACAGAGTTTCCATTAGGCACCCAGGTCAGTTATTGTTGAATCTAAATCAAAGCAATAGATGACTTCGTGAATTACAAGCAGAAAACTCTGAAGAACTTACTCCAGGTTGCGAAGCAGCAGAACAAGACCTAGAAGATTTAGGATTTGGAGCGTCAATTACTTTGAAATGAGACCCATTCTCTCTCTGCTTCTCCGACTGCCACCTTAAGAGAGACATACAGCAGGCGAGGATGGTGGAATTGGAGAAATATAGCAATAGGTAAAAGAATTACTAAACGAACGTGAAAGAAAGGCGAGAAATTGTGACTGGGTCCACTGGAGAAATTGAGAAAATCATCAGCTGCATTTCCTTCTTTTTTTTTTTTTTTTTTGGCCCCTTTTCCAGTTTTCAAGATAATGGGAGAAAGTGATCAAGCTATATCTGTATCCATGGAGGATAATTTTAGGTTTGAGAAAAGTAAGGTTTTTAAATTATTTCTTACTCACGCAAAGGTCGTTATCGGTGTCTCCTCTTTAGAAGAAAACAAACGAAAACATATTAAACCTAATTATTTGAGTGCAATAGTTGAGTGTGATGGAAGAACTAGGACACACCATGACAAGAATATCCTTCTCAAATTCTTTTTTTCCTTTTGTAGACCGTTTAAAGTTTAGATAAATTAAATTTTGACATAAGTATAAGATGCTCGAAGGAGTCAGGTTGTGCCTATGGCTCGAATAGTATTTACAAAAACATTTATATATCATTTATTAATAAGCTAGTAGGATTTAAACTCATAATTTTATGAATTATAAATTAAATATTTATCAACTAAACTAATTTTTATTGATATCTTTGTCTAATTCTTTCTCTCAGCTCTTTTTTATTAATTTTTCTAATTAATTCCAATTCTTTTATATCAATTTGTAAACGTGATTTTTTTAAAAAAATAATTAGTCAAGTAAATATGCTCTTATTAATATAATAAACCTTCGAATGATATTATAGATTTAGATTTGATAATAAACTCAAACAATAACTCTGATATTTATTTCAAAAAGAATTATTGTTAATTATTACTTAATAAAGTATAGTTTGATAATAAAGTAAAAACAAGCAATTAAAATATATAATAAAACTCTTTGTCCAAAAAAAAAATATATATATATATAAAATAAAGCAAAAATAAATAAAGAGTATTTTTTTAGTTTTATTTATAAGGCAAAGAGAGAAGAAATGCTCCTCTTTATATTTTGCCTTTATTAAATACTTTAAATAAAAATATTAATAATAAAATTTAAAAATATTATTAAGAGTAAAGGTGAAAATTTATTAAATTTTAAGATAAAATTAATAAAATTTAACATTTTTTAATTTTAAAAAAATATTGATTTATGAATAATTTGGACAATTTACCAGCTTGATACTGTCATGTATGAGCAATTTGGACATAATAATATATAATCTATCTCATCAATGAGCTAACCTAACTGAGACACTTTATTTTAAATTTATCGATCCTTATATGATTTTCTTAAATATAGAAATAAAGTTTTTCCTGCATGCCGACACCTGTCTCATGATGTACAACGTGTCTCAATCATAAACGACATACGTGGTCCCCACAAGGTAGACCCCGCCAGTTGCCACGTTGTCGGTCCCTGAAGTGAAGAAGCCATCATCATTATTTGTCAACGCCCCACCAACTAACTAACAGCCGTTTGCGAACGGCTTAGCTTGCCTTCTTTTTCGGTTTGTCGTTTTTCCCACGCATGCTGTAAAACGACGTATTGTGCCGGGAACGAATTTACCTCCGTGGCCATGAATATTTTTAGTTTACACTAATTAATCTTTTTTCAGTTATCGTCAACTATGAAAAAAATAATAAAATAATTTTTTTACTATGATTAACAAAATTTTAAATTCATTTAGTTATTTATCAACTAATGACATGTATCTTTTACATAAAAACAAAAGGTATTTAAGACTCCTTTATACAAGTTAACTAACTTATAATCAATGGTTAAATAAAAATTAATTTTAAGTAAATTTTATCGAATCCATCAAGTTTTATTTATCAATAATTTAATATTAGTTACACTTTAAAAAAAATTCATCGTTTAATCTATATAATTTTAACTCAATTACTAATACAACTTAGTATCTAAAATTTAATTTGATGTAACTCAATTTTTTAAGTTTTACCCACTTGATAACTAATCTATTGAAGAATAAGATATTTTCTAAAGATGTAAAGATTAATTTATTAAATTTTTAAAATTTGAGATATTAGATAATTGCTAAGTCAAAATTATATGATCAAATAATTAATTTTTTCTTTTATATCACATAGTTTATTATTAGACTTCCTTATTCAATCCAAAGAACATATTTTAGGAGAGCAAAGTTAATATTGCATTAATTTATTTATAAAAAATAAAACCAAAAACGTTAATTTATTTTTTATTTAATGGAGAAAATTGTTTAAATTAGATACCTTGAACCCTTCCCTTGATTTACCAAGTGGAAGACACGTGTGGTGTGACAGGGACCCCAAAGGGATGGCGAGTGTTTTTGTAAGCCGTAACGTAACACGTGGCAAGGAATGAAGGTATTGAGGTGGCAAAGAGCTGAGCACACACGCACATTCATACACAACTGTACCATAATTTTTTTTGGTCCACATACAATGTCTCATATTAAAAAAGTACACCCCACACACTCATCACGCTCTTTTTTCAACTGAACTGGTAAATGTATGTTTGATTCTGTGATTCTACTTTTAGAGTTGCCTTCTAGAGTAGTGTCGTATTTGTCTGTGAGTCTTGTTTCCTACTACATCTGTTTAAAAATTTGAGGAATTTTTGTTCAAATCGTACTTCCTATTAAATTAGTTAATCATTTTTTCATACTTACTCTTAATTAAATATTTTACTTTAAAATAAATATAAAATAATTTATTTATCAATATTACTCGTAAAAAAATATATTAATTACGTCCTAAAATACTAAAAATATTTTATATTTTTTATAATTTAATTTTTAAAAAAATTTATATTTTGTAACAAAAAGAATAAGTTGGTTCATATTTTCATGATCCTTTAAAATTATAACTCATGTAAACGATTTTCAAGATGACAAGGAGCAAAATTTTTGCCCCAAAAAATATGAATATAAATAAAAAGATATCAACTTAATCAGTTTTGATTTCAGAAATCTCATTTTAAAATAATTATTTTATGGACAAATAGCTTGCAACCTGTGAAATAACTCATGGTCGTATAAAACAACATGTTATCTAAATAAGTGGTCGAGATTTCGATCTCAATCCTTAGATGTAAGGATCTAATTAAAAAGGGGTTTGCCATTTACCCTAAATATCTTGAAAAAGATTAGTCTATACATTAGGCTGGATATACTCATTATGTCTCACAAAAATAAACTATATAATATGTAACCACCAAACAAAAGATTTTTTATTGTTTTCCCATAACAATCTCCCTTGCATTAGAGCATATACACTTCCTCCAGTCTCATTTATAAATTACTTTTAACATATTTTACTGAATCAATAAAAATTTTAAAATTTATTAATTGTGTCTAAAAATTTAATAAATTTTTAACTTTATCCCTATTATATTTGTATACTTTAATAATATGATTTCTCTCATGAAAAATTAATGAGAGTAAAAAAGAGAACCTATGTTAAAAATTTAATGACATAACTTACAAATATAACTAAAAAAAGCACTCTGTCTACCTTATAAATGAAAATAGGAGTAATTATTTAGCATTATCTAGTTATTTAATTAAATATGGTAGGATTTAATAAAAAGAAGTTAATCCAGTTCAAATTTAGATTAGTTGGTAATATAAGAAATTGAATGGTTGTACCAGAACTCATTATATCTCTAGATTTTGCTCAGCAATCAAAAGGAATTTAACAATGAGCACATAGTAGAACAAGGCATGATATGACATGATTGTGGCAGTGGAGCATATATAATCAAGCGTATATGATGCATGAGTTTTACTTTTTACACTCAATACCCCCAAAAGAGGAATGCGCATGCTTGCAGTGTGAGTCTACCACAAAACACACACACAAGTTTCTTGGTTTTGAAGGCTCAATTCAAAGAAAGTGATGATTCTCATAAGATCTTAATGTCTAAGCCACAGAGGACCCTACTCCTACATTTCCTTCTGAACAAGAATTTGGGGAAGGGACAGTGACCCTTACAAGTGGATGAGTGGCTTTTCCAAAAGGAAGCAAAAGGGGGAAAAAAAACAAACCAACCTTGCTCTTGTTGTACTTTTGAACAAGCCATGAACCACAATAAAAAAAAAATTAGAAGTTAAGACACTTGATTCAACTGATAAAGGAGTTATATCAGCTAAAATAGAAGTCTTGAATTCAAACTCTATAAATGCAATAGTATTGATGGCATAGTATAAAAATATGGGTCAACTCACCCAATTAAACCGTTAAACTGTTAAACTAGTGTCTTAACCAATTTAATAAAATGATTTATTTATGATTAGTTTAATCACAATTCAATTAAAGTTTTAACTATTAACCTTTAAATTAGTGCCTTAACTTATCTAGTTTTTAGTATTTTGTGGTGTAAAGTCTTTGTCTAAAAAAGCCCTATCCTAACTTGATTTGTATTAGTCTAAACCTTGTTAAAGCCTTCTTAGCTCAACATAGAACAGACTTGGGATAGAGGATACCAATGCCCCACACAAAATAAAATAAAATTAAAGTTAAGTTTCACTTTCCAAAGATGATTTTTGAGGTTCAGGGCATTCATACTGTACATTCAATTTTTAGGTTAGTGACTCATTCTGGCATCAAGTTTTGGTCAATGTGTGCCCCCACATTGATAATGTTTCGCCTCCTTTTACTCCAATCCGTGGCAACAGATTCTAATTATTGACTTTGGAAGTTCATTAATGCCCTGGAGATAATGATGAAAAAAGTCACCACCTTTTCTGTTTCACCATGGATCTGAAACTATTCAAAGTTGTGAGCTCTTTTGGCATCCGAAGATGAATCTATGCCTCTATGGTAATGAAATTTGGTGTTCCATATCCCATTTTTAAGTGACATGTTGATTAGAATTAAATAGGTAATTACACATTAATTGACATGAGGCATGAAAAGAAATTTAAAACCTATAAAATTAAAATATTCTGGAGTGTGAAAGAAAGTAATGCAATGAATAGAGGGAAAATTGGAGAAAAGTACCTAATAAGTAAATTAATTAAAGAAAGGAACCTAACTTGCAGAACATGGAAGAAACGGCGCGGAATCATGAAAGAGAAAATGCAAATTTTGGATCTGATCCTTTTCCCTAATTAATTTTCTAATTAGATCCTTTTCCACAATTTTCGCAAGAATAAATGTTTATGAAATTCATTCTCTCTCCTCATCTACTCTGTTCTCTTTCTGTTTCTCTTACTTCAGAAACATTTTACATGCCTCTAGCTTTAGAAGCCATTTTACACTAAGATTCATGCTGGGGAAAGGCTTGGGAGTTGTAAATGGCAAGGAAGCTTTTGACGTTTAAATATATATTCATCTGGAAAAGGTAATAATAGTATTCAAGCTATACATAAACTCTCTTTAACACATTATAGTACGAGCACAATGTTAAGTGTAAACTACATAGAGTTAAGAGGAGATAGTTTCCTCGAGAACAATTGTGATCTCCTAACTTTCGTACTATATACATCTGCCTACAGGTCCAGTGGTCCTCTCTCGTGTGCCCCTAACAGAACCCAAAATCTTGTTTCTTGTCCAACTTTGGTTTGCAGATATACCTTTTGCCTTTGGTGCTGCAATCAATCAGCTACGATCACGGAAACAATCCCTCCAGAAATTCATCAAAGTTATCGTCGTCATCAATTTTATGATCACTGGCAGAAGTTGAAGCCCTTTTCCCTGTTAATATGTAAGAAATCCTCAGCTTATAGGATTAGACGCAAGGAGAAAGAATTTCCAGACATTCTTCAAGGGAAAAAAATAAAAAAGGAAAGATTTCTACATATTCAATTACAGATAGAATCAAGTCAACTTAGGCAAGCCCAGTCTGCAGAAACGACCATTTTCAAAACCAGCAGAAGAATAGGCACCATTCAAACCAAATCAAGGAAAATATATCTATACTAACATAAGCCTGGCAAATTAAGATAACAATCAACATAATCAACAATTCCTGAGAAACTTGGTGCATACTAATTATTACTTTCATATTTAGGACCGGCTCAGCAGATGTACACCTGAAGCAGCCAACAAAATTAATGATAGCATGGACTCAAATCCTCAAAAGAAGAGACAGCCAAATATCCAAGATGAAGTTACACGCATACACTGATGTGCGGCATAGATAACCTCCAAGGTCCCAACAAATAGGCCTCAAGCTTCATATAACAACAGCATGCAGGGGCAAATTAATGACCAGAATATTGCTTTCAGAATGATCCATTCCCTTCAGTGAACCAAGAAAATTATTTTCATTTTTTTATGAAAATACCTTGAATTCATTAATTCCAGTCAGACCTTCCTACTAAATAATCTGAAATGCATCTTTACAGAACGCATTAAATAACATATCCTCTTCTGCATATTTTATATGCTGCAAGGTTTTGTTTTCATAAAAAATCAATTGCCAATCAACATTGCAAACTATGCAAATAATAGAGCAACTATTGAAATACACAACCACGAGCACATTATGCTTGATCCCAGTTGTTTTGCTTAGTTTTCCTTTAGGTTTAGTCTCCAGTGTTTTTACTTTCCTGTGTTATTCATAATATCACATGAAAAAAAAAGAAAAAAAAAATGGCAAGCACATTTTCAGGAAGTAAAACTGTGATTCACTTCTAAAACAAGGCAACATCAAACCTTCTCGCCTCCTCTCTTTGCTTTTGTCCAGCTCATCTGAATCATCATCACTCTTTGACCGGTTCCTATAAATCAAAGGTCTCGATCTATTATCTTTTTGTCTACTATGTGTGCAAAAATAATAAAAGAGACGGAAACAAAATCCTAACCTCTTTCGGCTGTCTTCCTTTTCTCTTTTTTCTAATTTTTCTTTCTCTTTCATCCTCTTGTAATGAAGCTTCTCGGCACATCTTTAGCAACAATAAAATGAAAAATTAAGAAATGAAATCCTTTTGCCAAACAACATAGTAGGGCATTTCCAATATTCCGTTCAAGGTCTCCGGAATAACTTTCTGATTGTAAGTGTTTTTGCAGAAGAGTGAATGCAAAATCTTCTGTGCCAGCACAATCTCAAAGTTGAATATCCTAGAAATGCCAATATACACTTTTCCCATAACTAATCTAATTTCTCTCAAGTCGATATAAGACTCATAGTTTTTCTTACATGCATAATATCCACAATTAGAGAAGTTTACAAAAGTTACTTCATAAGGAACATGTATCAAACATTAGCATAGATGCATATATTTCAAATAATCTTCCTTTCGCAAATATATCACTTTGATAAAAAACAACTACTTTCCTAGGATAATACCTTTAAATCGTATCTATCTTAATCATAAGATATATCCCGATGTAACTTAATTTCAATTTGATGCCTTTTAGACTATGGGTTTAATGTTAATTTTCATGATAAAATTTTTTACATTTTGAGCAATTCAACCTTTTATGGTTTGGCATTTCTTTCAAAAGTTTTTTGCTATGGATATTGTTGGTGATATTTATTCACATAATTGCTTTACTTCTAATAATATTGATATGAATATCTAACCTGCTAGACTAGAATACATTAATCAAAATAAAATGATTAAACTAGCTAAAGAACGAATGCTAGATCCAATTTCAAATATGAAAAATGTCTTTATATGAAACTTGTCTAGCTGACAAAACAACTAGAAAACCTTTTGGTAAAGATAAGAGGGTTGAAAATTCATTGCAATTAATCCATTCAAGTTTCAAGCTTTAATTTTTGTCATTTGAAACAAAATAATTTTCATAAGAATGGCCAGACTAGAAGAGTTTCAGTCACAAAACTTAGGTTTAACATTCCAAAATGGCAAATTGTTGAAGGTCAAGCCCAAGAAGTGTTGAGCACCCTCCATAGGGTTACAGCTTATTTGCTTTAGTTTTCATCTTATTTATTATTATTTTTCGTCATTATCATTCTTATCTATTCTGTTTATATTTAACGCATTCTTTAGACAGATTTGACCTAGATTTCAAAACCCTAGAGCTGGGAGGCAGGCTTGTTGCCTCAGATACATTAGCAGCATTCAGCTCGACCAAGTACCATGATAGAACCAGTATTGACCTCAGTCGTTTTCCTACAAAAATTGACTCATCCAGAATCAGATTTTAAAAAGTTGATTCTCTTCGGAATCCAGAATTCCACAGCAACTCCAACATGAACTCACGTTTCATCATGAAATGTATTTCCCATAAATATTCAAGGCAAAGCATTTTTTTTCATCCCAATGCAAAAACGCTTCTTTTAGGGGACAATTTGGCTATGCAAACATTCACCACAGAAGCTTAACAACCAAATTTTCATGAATATAGTGATTACAAGTAACAAAGCTAGCAAAAGCACATAATGACTCACCTCTCACAGGTTACCAACTTAACTAGGGCTTGTTTGTTTTCCCCAGCTTCGAAGTAACAGAAGTTCACCTGTGAAGAATGCAAAGATATGGAAACATCAAACGAGATAAGGCAAACCACAATGACTCATTTTCCAGGCAAAAGTTTTTGACAGGATAGAGTGTGTAACCCATTTAAAAAATAAGAAATTGAAAGAGAAAAAGATATCATATGAAAAGCAAAAGAATGTCAAAAAACTAGGATTAGGCATCTTTTAATTACAGTTTTTTTTCTTATTTTTACTTGTTCCCGTATGAAAACCTTCTTAATAGGTCAACTTCCTCCTTCGCCACAATTTTTTCATTGCTTCTTGCATCTATCAAGCTCTTTTTCCACCGTTAAATCAATATCCCTTCAGTCTCATTCTCTCATCAAGTACTTTTATGGCATATGCCAATAGAGTCAAACTAACATGTGAACACCAAGCATAGTGATGACACTGGCACATAGCTGAGTAGTGGAATAGATTAATGAATGATAAGAATAAAAACTTGCCTCATAGCTTGCTAAACCATCTTTCTCATCACAATGCTTGTTTCCACATATGAACTGGCCTGCAAAGTTGTGTAACCAATTAATTCTAAAACTTATCACGCTCCTGGCCATTTTTAAAATCCATAGAAACTTGAGACAACTATTTCCATAACAGCACAAATGAAATAGACAAGAAAATCTGAAGATAAAGTACTTGTATAAGCATGATCTCCAGAATAAGCATTCATATACTTTCACAGGTTTAGTAAAGCAAGTTTGGAAACTAGTCAACTTGTTGAGCTGACAAAAACAATGGGTGATGTAGTAAATAAAACATAATTTTATGAAACCTAATATATTTTTCTTGAGGCTTCAAATAAAAACAGTAATGAACTAGAATAATCAATTTTCTTCTAAAAGGACTAGTAACAATGCATTTGGATACTTAGATGATTCAAAGCTTTATTCATTTAAATTGCATCTCATCAAATCAAGTATTAGGTTAACAATATAAAAATCCTGAAACTCAAATAAATTTTGATAAATTGAACATGAAGTTAAATGGACAAGTTCGTTTGCAAAGAAATAAGTCTAAAAAAGTGACACAAGCCAAAATGCACAAGATAGACCTAGGGGGTGAAAAATGATTCCTCAGTAGCCAGCAAGAGAATCATCATTACCCTTGCCAGATATTACTTCCTTCTCTGTCCTCCATCTGAGGCCAATCTACAAGAATATGCCATTATTAACATATGATCTTTAAAATGCACTCAGTCACTGAATTTTAATGACACAAAATAGGAGAGCCTCCACCACCAAAATCCCGTGAAACTGGAATTGCACCAGAATCTCCTCTCTCTAAAAAGATTTCAAATGGTTTATACATTCCCTAATAACAAAGCATTAAAGAAATTAAGAAATGACTTCGCTCTGACCAGAAAGACACACCAATTATAAAACTAAAAAAGCAGATAATATTGTCAGCATGCATCAATCACCCTAAACCTGAAGGCTGAAGCATACAATGAGTTCAAGAATTGCCCAAAGTAGAAACCTCTATATGTCTCAAGGCACCCTTGAGAACAAAAGTAGGGAATCAGGTAGCAAATGCAAACACTAAACCCCTTGTATCAGTGATCAAACAACACAATGAAATAAAAATATAAAGAAACAACAAAAGAATGACAGCATTTTGAAATACAGCAAGAATAAGTTCCATAGATATTAATTACCTTGCCACTCCTGTACTGAGACATATCAGCAATGCAGTATCTTTAGAATATTCAATTAAGGAAACAATCAAACAGGAAGATTCCGCACCACAAAAAATTAGAACATTTTAGGGAAAACGAAATAAGAAGCAACACATGATTTTAAAAGTCACAGAACTATGAGCATCAAGGATGATCAAAGTAAACAAATTACTCACTGAAATTTCTCATAGGCACATTGGTAAGAGTCTAACTGATAAGGAAAATAGATGAAGAAGAGAAATTCTAATAAGAAATTATCAAGCAAGAATCTCACTTAATAACTCCTTAACAGCCATAAGTGTGGAGAATCTCCAATGGGTGAAACTGAGTTTATTTCTGATATGACTAGCCTTCAACGTAGTTAGCATATATATAATACTGATTACAATAACTGAATATCTGAAACAGAACAAAATCTCCTAAAATTACTCAAACAGCTAGATATCACTAACTAACCACAACAGAGGTTATGGTCCCTTATTCTGCTCCTAAAGTCTCTCTAACTAAACAATTCAAAATTCAAATGAATAACAATAAACAATAAACAATAACTTAATTCAGTTTTTGTTTTTTTCCTCCTGGAATAAGTCAGCATTGGTTTCTTATCACACATTTACAAACCAATATAGTATGATATGCACAAAGTCTAAGATTACATCAAGTATCACCAAAATTTTTTAAAAATTTTGAAACAAATAAATACCAGCCGGTTCTCTTTCAATACCAATAAATTCAGTAAAACAAGTGATCAAGTTGTAAAGGATACTCTTTGAAAAGCTTGTCATAATAACGTTTCACCAGCCTTTGTTCCCATGAAGGATTCATATCATCCTCTTCAGAGCGTATGAATCTTGCATTACATTTGAATTAACAACATCAGAAATTCGGGCAACAGGAGTTGACATTGAGATAAGCTTCAGGCCTTCGGGGTTCAGTAATATAGCAAACAAATGGAGACCAGAAACCATGAATGAACTTACCTATATCCTTCTCTCAGTGTGTCTTTATCTGTTTTAATAGGCACACGAAAGTTGGATGATTTTTCTTTCCCATAAAAGCTAGCTGTAAAACCACCAGAGAATTCTTAGAACTTGGAAACTTACTAAAACATAATACAGCCATACTCAGGCTGTAGAAAACTAATTAAAGTTTTCCCCCTAGTAATTACTAATTATTAAGCCCAACATATGATGCTCAGCAATCCACAGAAGGCATATAAAACATATCGCCTGAGTGAACTACCGGACCCCTGGAACCTATCTTTTTATGAGATGGTACCAGCTCTCAGCGAAGGAAAAAGATCCATGGCTCTAGTTACTATAAAGGGGGATGTGAGGATGATTGTAGCCTCCTGCCTTCTAAGTGGAGGAGACTGTTCATCATCCACTTGCTTTAGGACATAAAGGACCCAACAAATCAAGTACTCAAAATTTGCTTAATTTCCTTAGCGTCCATTCCCAGTCCAATTGACACCTGATCAAATACCTGGAGCTTAATAATAGATTATGACCAAGGAAAATCTAATTGGGGGGAAGAAATACTTTTAGCTTCCCTCACAACGCGTCCATTGAAATGGCCCTAAAAATCAAGTTGGACGACAGCTTACACGTTATTTTCTAAGGGCAATTCCCAAATGCTGTACAAATAAAACTTCTGGTTTAATATTTTAACCGTACCGTAATCTTTAATGAACTTTTTATGCCGATCATAAGCATTGAGCCCTCGAATATGTGCCTGGTATTGCCTACAATACCATTAAAATGGAATTAGGCAAGAAAGCGAGTGCAATAACACCGAAAATTAGGAGAATCAAAATCAACAAACGCACTGTTTTCTCTCTTCTCTCTCAAAAATTGCTGATTTGAGAGAACCCAAAGATGCCATGCTTGTCCCTCACACAGCCAAACCCTACTTGCCAATAGTCAGGCGGAACGCTCATGCGATTCGGCTCCCAGGAGAGGAGCAATACTGCAATAGCCAATAGAGCTGGCGGAGAACCGTAAAACGACGTTAGTTGATGATCCCTCTAAATTCAGATAACGACATGTCGTTTCACTTCTACAAAAAAAAAAAAAAATTCCCCTTCGGAGTAACATATCCATCATTTCCTCACTTATTAAAGTTTTTTTATAGTTATGTGACATATTTGAACATTATTATATCTGATAAATAGCTATCTAAACATGTTATGCATTCACGCAAATTCTAACCCGAAATCATGTATTCAAATGATCATGATTCATTAGATTAGAACAAACATATATTTAAAATAAAATGAGGGATTCCCAGTACTTGAACAAGTAGAAGCTGATTTATGAAAAAAATATAATAAATTCTTAGCACAAGAGGAACTGTTGTGGTACCAATAATTAAGATGTAAGTAGTTGAGCTGGGGTGATAAAAACAATAGATTTTTTCATACTAACACCGTGGTTTGAAAAAGGAGAAACAAAATTGAAGCCTTAAAAAATTCTCAAGGCAATTGGGTGTTTGCTTAAGAAGAGTTGAAGAATGTGACAATTCAATATTATAAAGACGTTTTCACTTCAAAGATAGAGAGGTCTCTCTCAAGGATAACACCTTTGCGTTACCCAAGTCTTAGTAAAGAGGAGTTAGCTTCTTTAGAGAGGACAATCATAAATGATAAAATTAAAAAAGCTACTTTTGAGATAGGAGTGTTTAAAACCCCAAGTCCAAATGAAATTCAAGCAGCATTTTACCACCAATACTAGGATTATTTGAAGAGCTCTATTTGAACTTTGGTGAAAGATCTTTTTAGGGATCCAAGGTGGATAAGGAACGTGAATGACACCCATATTGTACTTATCCCTAAAGTTGAGAAACCCAATAGTATGAAAGAATTTAGATCATTATCCCTTTGTAATGTGAGCTACAAGATTGTAACAAAAATCATAGCTAACATAATCAAGGGACTTATGGGTAAAAGTATTGGTGATCATCAGAGTAGCTTCATTGCTAGTAGATAAAGTAGTGATAATATCATCATTGTCCAGGAGGTCATCAATACAATGACGAGGAAGTCTAGAAAGAATGGATTTGTGGTAGTAAAAGTGGATTTGAAAAAGGCTTATGATATACTTGAGTAGTCTTTTATAGACCAATGCTTGAGAGAGGTGGGATTTAGAGAAAATCTATGCAAAGTTATCATGGCATTTATAAGCTCCCCAACTACCAAGGTACTATGGAATGGAGAACATACAATGATGTTTAAGCCTTCTAGGGGGTTATATCAAGGTGTTCCTTTATCCCCTTATATCTTTACCATCTATATGAAAAAATTGAGTCATGTCATTGAGGAAGACATTTCGAAGGGTGAATGGAACCCTATACACCATGTTAAGAATAGGCCTCCGTTGTCACTTTTGCTCTGTGTGAATGATTTGGTCCTCTTTAGGGAAGCCTCTAGAAGCCAAATTCAATGCATGAATAGGTGTATTTCTTTTTTCTATGATGCTTCAAGACAAAAGATGAATAAAGAAAAAACTAAGATTTTTGTGTCTAAAAGTGTTCACTTGAACAGAGCTTTGGAGCTCAATAGAGATTTGGTAGTCGATCTAATGAGAGATTTGGGCAACTATTGGGGAATTCCTCTGATTCATAAGTGAGTGACAAATAGCCTTTTTAATCCCATTTTGGCCAAAGTAAAGAGGCGCTTATCAGGTTGGAAGAGTAACTGCCCTACTTTTATAGGAAAAACTACCCTTACCAAGTCTGTTATCTCTGTTCTTCCTAATTATTTTATGCAAACCATTCTTCTCCCTTCTAGTGTCCTCAATGAACTTGAAAAAGTTAGTAGGGATTTATTTAGGGAGATAAGGAAGAAGTAAAGAAGGTTCATCTCTTAGCTTGGGAGGTGTTATAAAGACATAAGGAGAAATGAGGTTTGGGTCTAAAAATCTTAAACTTCAAAACAAAGCCTTCATCTAGAAACTTTGTTGGGGTTTGGTTACAAATCTAAATGCTTTTTGGGTTTGAGTGCTTAGAACTAAATATAAATGTAGGGAAGGAGATGTGTTGGATGTGCATCATAAAGTAGGGGCTTCTATTATTTGGAGAAGTATGACAAAAGTATCGAATACCTTCCTACAAGGATTAGGTAAACATCTCATTATAGGAAAACAAGCTTCCTTTTAGTTTGATAGGTGATCTCTTCTTAAGAGGCCACTTATTGACTTCATGGAGACAGATAGGGAGTTTATTGATGTTAATGAGAAGGTGAGAGACTATGTTTTACCGTTAGGTTGTCGAGATATGTTCAAAATGATACTATGGCTGTCTATGCATATGGTGGACCTTAGTACCAGTACAAGAGTTCCCGTAAGGAGAGAAAAGAGGATAAACACATATGGCTCTTTTCCACTGATGGCATTTATTTAGTTAAATTCGGATATTCTTTTCTTTGTGTAGGTATAGAGGAATCTAAAGACCCTTTATGGAGGAAAATTTGGAGACTATCTATACTAAAAAAGATGAAGACATTGTTATGGCTGTTCGCACATTATAAAGTTCATACAACGGCCTTCAAGAACAAAAGAAGCCTCTCAACTACAAGCCCTTACCCTTTTGGGTGTAATTAGATGGAAGATACCTTACACCTCTTTTGAGACCACCAACATGCTAAACATAAGTAGGGAAGATTGGTGTGGACTGATCTAGTGGATGAATTTAACAATCTCAACAAGTGAGAATGGCTGAAGTGGAATATGAATGAACAAGTGGAAAGTAACTTTACTGAAGTGGTACCATAAACCACTCTTTTTACTTTCATTTTGCTGGGAAATCTGGAAGAATAGATGTAAACTTATGTTTCCAAGGTAATAGCCAATGGAAAGTTGAGGAACCACAATTTGTGCTATTCAAGATTCTTGCAAATTTAAGATTACAACATCAGCTTGCTAAGTCAAACCACCAACAACATTGGCTGGAACAACAAGAAAACAATATGCAAGCTATTAGGTTGGAAATAGATGGATCTATGCTCAAGGATAGCCAAAGTGCTTGAGGTGGTGTATTAAAAGACAAAAATGGCATTTGGATACAAGGTTTTAGCTAGAGGTTGGGATGAGTGCCACCTATAGTTGCAAAGATTTATGATATTTTCAAAGGTCTTGAATTTTACTGGCAAAATGAATTTAAGATTGTGGATGTCTTTTGTAATAGTGCACAAGCCATTGCTAGTATCACAAGGGACAACCATAATTACTATCCTTTTCAAAACATTATTAATTCTACTAGACTTTTGCTCAAAAAAATTGGTTAGTTAACTTTCATTTCATGTATGGGGAAGATAATAGCTGATCTTTTGCTGAGTTTGCCCATAATATGATTGTTGATTCTACTATATTTGCAATGCACCCTTTAGTTAGTCTTGGTGGACTGTGCTAGTTTTTTCGTTAGGATTTTACTTTGCTTTGTGTTAGCTGTTTAGTATGTAGTGTTTTTACATTTTGTTGAGAGAATTCCATTTCACATTAAAAAAAAAAAGAACAAACATATGTCTATAATTTATGAAAAATTTTATCCTCAATTTAACAAGATTTCAAATTTGTGTGATGTCATGGATTCAATTTTCTCAAGTGATTTCAAGTTGTTAATTAATGAAAACCATTAGTCAACGTATATATCATCACAATGTTGATTTGCGCAGTGTCCTTCAAGAGTAAAAGACAAGTCTTTTATAGCAAGTAGGAGTTCAAACTTCAACATATATAGATGAAGACAGGCTAACATGTGCTATATTTATTATGTTGTTAGCTTATGTTTCAATCGTGACCCTAAGTTGGTCCTCTATGGTTAGCCCCAAAAAGTATGATATTTTGTCTCCTTGCATGATTGAATTTTTTTTTAGCGGATAATATAATAGATTTATATGAATATATTACATCAAAGTAAGAAAAATAATTAATTTGACTTCCTCTAGTCAAGTTCAATACGGTTTAAATTTAGATATTGAATATCAAATGATTTAGTATTAAGGGAAAAAAAAATACTTGATACCTTATGTTTTGCATGTTCAATTCATGAGTCTTTCCATTTAAAAAAAAAATCGAATACAACTAAGAATTCAATTTTTTTTTGTATGATAAGAATTCAAAATTTCAACTTCGATGTAGATTTGTGTTTGAAGGTAAAAATATTTAATCCTATTGAGGTGAATGTTTTAGTTGACAGACTTTTGTGTTAAATTAATAATGTGCAAGCTTTTAAATTTGTAAGAAAGGTTGATGTAAATAAAAAGTGAAGTTGCCTTAGTGTTTTCTTGATAAAGGTGGGATTGAATTGAATTATGATGGGGCTTTTGATGAGATAAAAGATTATGGTAGTATTGGGACTATTAGAAGAGATGATTTAGGTAACTTTATGACTAATATAAGTGAAAAAGTGATAGGTTCTTCAGCTTTGATAGTTGAAATTTTAACTTTAAAAAGGGCTCTACTACTTGCTAAAGAACTTGAAATTGTGAGTATCTATGTTGAAAGGGATTGTAAGGTCTTATATAAGACTATTATTATGATATAGCTGTTACTTGTGATTGGAAAAGTAATGGCATTATCAATGATATTTGTTGTTTATGGCCTTATATGAAGAATTGTTGTTTGTCTCTTGTTTGTAAGGATAAGAATAAAGTTGTGAATTTTCTTACAGTGGATGCTAAAAGGAAGATGAAACCGATTGGTTTGGTGATGTCACCTCCATCTATTTTGGCTCGGATTATGCTTCTTGACAATATTAAAACATTGAATAGTGATGATATTAATAGGAATGTATCTTTTGTAAAAAAAAAAAAAATTGGTTGATAATTTTTTATTGGGTTTTTTATTTTTGTTGGTTTTTGTTGTTCTTGTTTTTTATTTTTGTTAAACTGGTTGTTGTTTTTTCTTGTGTGTTTTGGTGTGTCAGATTGTATGTGTAGGTTTTCTTGAGTGTTTTTTTTTTTTTAACTTTGGCTATTAATGTTTGTAAT